TATAGGACATAAGATGGCGCATCTTTTTTTCCTTTCAGTTTTTTTTGTAGATCAAAAAATAGAGTTAATATATGCAAAACACTTAAAAATTTTATTTCACAAATTTCATTCAATTTTTAAACATAAATCATAGTATCTTTGACAAATTTCAATGAATCTTATTGAAAATTAATATACATACGTATTTAGGTCCATAGAAGACGACAACATAATCAAAAATATTAAAATCATGAATTGTTTATTTATAATTAATTGTAAATGAAGACTTGTCAATAATAATGTTTACTTACCTTTGTCGACATAAAGTGTGTGGGGAACTTCAGAGTTGAAGAAACTTCCAGTGAGACATTTGTTTATCATAATGTAAGGAAGTTTTTTGTAAAATTGAAAAACAATTTATCAACAACTTTAGAAAATATAGAACGTTTAAGAAAACATGCGCGACGCGCTAGCGAGTCTCCGCGCGGAGAATTGCACACAAGAGTTGTAGAGGACCGAAAATACAGAAACAAATATTGTCACTACATTCTTAGAAATGTTTTTCAAATAAAATATGTGTTAATTTTATGAAAATGCAAATTAAATTTTAACAACTGTTTTTTTAATATTTACTAAATAATCAATAGTTTTAAAATATTTTGGTGCTTGTATGTACTGTTTGTGCAGTTTGCAAATAAGTTTTTTATTAATTAATATTAAGGTATATCTTTATTTTCTGTTTCTTCATTTTTTTAAGAAATTAGTGTATTGTTACATATCAACAGTGATAGTATGTTGGCTCCATTTTCAAAACATAATATATCACAACATAACATAACGTCCTTCTTAACTCTTGTGTGCAATTCTCCGCGCGGAGACTCGCTAGCGCGTCGCGCATGTTTTCTTAAACGTTCTATATTTTCTAAAGTTGTTGATAAATTGTTTTTCAATTTTACAAAAAACTTCCTTACATTATGATAAACAAATGTCTCACTGGAAGTTTCTTCAACTCTGAAGTTCCCCACACACTTTATGTCGACAAAGGTAAGTAAACATTATTATTGACAAGTCTTCATTTACAATTAATTATAAATAAACAATTCATGATTTTAATATTTTTGATTATGTTGTCGTCTTCTATGGACCTAAATACGTATGTATATTAATTTTCAATAAGATTCATTGAAATTTGTCAAAGATACTATGATTTATGTTTAAAAATTGAATAAAATTTGTGAAATAAAATTTTTAAGTGTTTTGCATATATTAACTCTATTTTTTGATCTACAAAAAAAACTGAAAGGAAAAAAAGATGCGCCATCTTATGTCCTATAAGATTGCACTTTTCAAAAATCAAAATTTTGATTTTTCATTTTTTTCACGTTTTTGAACGTTTGACTGGCGTTAGAGCGATCGGCCAAGCGCTCGGCGAGTTATTGCAGGCAGCTACTCAATTAGTTTTATGTAACAAAATTGACATTTTTATGATTTATTGTAACACATTTGTGAAAGTAATTCTTTCACGGGGGGAGAATGTTAATAAACTAAATATTGAATTTAAATTTTTATTCTTAAATTTATAAAGTTTGACATTATTTGAATTTTTAAAATTACCGCTTTGAGTCGCGCGCATGCGCTAAAATTGTACTTCGTTTTCCTCTCTATGAGGTATATTCACTTCTTAACAAGCAATCTAACGAGAACGTTGTAAAGTGACGCTCTGATTAAATAAACTTTTCTTAAACCGAATTTTATTAATTATTATCAGTTTTTGTGTCGAAAATCACCAATCGGTGTGAACAGATATTTTGATATTTCTCGAAAATTTTATAACCTTTTACACGTGTAATTACACGTGTAATTCATAATGTGAAACTTTTTTGAAATTTCAAGAATTGTTACACGTGGAACTACACGTGTAATCTATGATGTATTCCACGCCAAAGTGAAAGTCCATCTACAATTGCATCTCCGATTTTTTTGAGATTTTTTTTCTTTTAGTACTAATTGAGACTAGCTTCCATGAATTTTATCAAATTTTTTTAGCAAGCCGTTTTCGAATTATGGAATTTTGAAAATTTGAGAATTTTCATAACTTTTCATTTTTGAATGCTCATAACTTTCTTAAAAATGCATCAATTTTAAAAGTCTTTTCTTAAGAATGTGTGTTTTTAAACGATATTACTACCAAATTTTTGGGTTTTAATGATAAAAAGTCATTTTTCTCATTTGACGTACTGGTCGATTTTTTCAAAAAAACTACTTCTTTTTACGAAACTTTTAAGCCTAGCCCGATAATGAGCAAACTATTTTTACAATATTTTCGGAATTTTTCAAAAATTTTTGAATTTTTTAAAAATATTTTTGGTTTTTACTCATACTACGTACTTTTATATATTTTGATGCGCTGATTACGGAAATCATAGTAACAATACTCAAAAATTTTATTATTATGGTGAAAACCATAAAAAAGTCACAAAATTTATGGTTTCTTTCGTTTATTGTGTAAAATATTAAAAGTTAAAAAAAATGTTTAAACAGAAGTTATAGATTTTATTAAAATGCATTTTTTATATCTGATTCTCCAATTTTCAAAATTGCATAACTCGAAAACGGCTTGCTAAAAATATTTGAAAAAATTCATGGAAGCTAGTCTCAATTAGTACTAAAAGAAAAAAAATCTCAAAAAAATCGGAGATGCAATTGCTGATGGACTTACACTTTGGCGTGGAATACATCCTACACTTTGATATTTCTTGAATATTTTATAAACTTTAACACGTGTAATTACACTTTTAATTTTTGAAATTTTAAGAATTTTTTATACATGGAACTACACGTGTAATTTAATTTTAAAATTTTTAAAAAATCGTTTTTTACCCATAACTTTAAAAAAATGTGAATATTTTTCTTTAATTTTGTAGAGTTTTTTGAGACGCATCTTTTAAGATGTAAGCAAATATTTTATTTTCTATTTCTATTTCTCTATCCAAAGTTATTGAATTTTTAAAATTTAAAGAAAAACGTTTTTTGCTTATAACTTTAAAAGAATGTATTGACACCCATGGATATTTATTTCTAGTTTTGTCGAGTTTTTCAAGGCGTATCTTTTCACCTATTAGCGAATATCCTATTGATATTTCTCAAAAATTCTATGAACTTGTATCACGTTTAACGACACGTGTAATCGATACTTTGATTTAAATTTTTTACTAAAACTCTTCGTTTAAGGTTGAAAACTCGTGTAATACAAAATTTTTTTACGATTTTTTTTTGTTTAGAAATTAGTTTACTATATGTAGATGTTGGAAATCAAAAAGATTTCAAGCAGATTATTTTTTTTAATGCAATGTAAATTATTTATTAATCAAAAGAAAATACAAAAGTTGAGGAACGCAGTTCTCTCCTTGAAGGTTCGTAGACAACTAAAGATTTCGAGTTTTGGCAATAGCCCGTACCATACCTAAGTACACACAGACGCATACCCACACTATTACAGAGAGGTGCGAGTACCTAAGTGCAATTAAGTTAAGAACTAAGGACAGTAACCGTCGAAGTGAACGCTGAGCAGATGTTGACCAGATTTATCAATAAACTAACAGCCGAAATACTGAGGAAAAACCCAGGACCCCAATGGGAAATTTACTATTGGCTAAATATTGAGAAATATTGGCAGCCAATCTTGCCAAGCTAGGTGCAACATTGGCTCCCAATATTGGACAACGATTGCTAGAGCCTTGGGATGATCACGACTTTGCCAAGCATTGGTAGCCAATATTGAATTAATATTGGCTTCCAAGGCAAATATTGTAGCTACAAAGATTGTACCAATATTGGAAGCCAACAAAATCGTGCCAAGATTTAAAGAAAACAGATTTAATTAATTATACAACTCTATAAAAAGAGAGGTACCTGTGGTGTCGTGAGAATAAATACACAATTATTTAATATCAAAGGAACATATTTAATATAGAGTTTAGATATAAGAAACGAACTGCTTACATAAGATCTCAGAGTATACCAATATATGTGAGTGTCAACTAAAAGTCCCCCCCTTTCTCTATAGGTAGTGACCCCATACGGGCTTATGTGTAACTATATTACAGTACCAAAAAATCACCAGTCACACTTAAGCAATAGGTGAATAGAAATAAATTTTGCTCCTGACGGTGCAGGAGTCCCTTCTTATAACACTAGTCGAGCATCTTGTTTTCGGGTAGAACATTCTCACATACACCCTGGTGGTGACTCCTCTAAATTCTTTTCCAGCGCACATTGTTCTGAGCAGCGCAGCGCGGGAATTTTCAAATTTCAATTTAACTCATTTCTTTAAAGTTTTATAATTATTCATTATTTTTGTTTGCAGATTGTAATTAAAGAATAAATTTTCACAATTCATAAAAATCATGAATTTATCCTGTAATTAATAATTTTTTATTTTACTTATAATATTAATATATTATATATTATTACTGTTATTATTAATAAATTTTACGAATGTTTGTTTATTATCTGTTTTATTTGATTAATAATCATTAAATAAAAATACTATTGAAAATATTAAAAACAAGAAACCAGTCCAATGTATTTTACACAATTGATTTTTATTTATAGATTTTTATAAATTTTGAGAAAATAAAAGTTAAGTTCCAAGATAAATTCAAAAAATTATTTTCAATTTTCTATAACTTGTATACCATCAGCTTTTTGTTGCCTGAAAAATTTAAAATAAGGTTAATTTTCATTATAAAATATTTGTATCTGTTTTCTATTTCCTTCGATATCTGTTAATTATATTATTATATAATATATATTAAATATTATATATTTAATATATATTTAAATATTAATATTAAATATATATTTAAATATATTTAAATATTATATATTAATTGGCATTAACAATTCTATCAAATAAAAATCCATTATAAATTCTAAAGTAATTTAATTAAAATTAAAATTACATGTATAGAATATTACATGAAACAAATTTAGTAATTTGCAATAGATTGTACGGAATATAAAAAATTAATTTGCAAGCAAACGGTTCGTCGATTTTTGTCATACAGAGAGGCATTTCATTGGTCGTGACACTTTTTCTATACATGCATGTCTGCGATACTGCAACGTGAAGAAAAAATCCAAAAAGTCATATTTGATAAATAGTTAAAATAAGCTATTTTTTATTGTCTCCGCTGCTCGTTCGTGAGTCAAAAGTGGTCAGCTTCTATAATAATGTTGAAAAGTTTTCGCTTGTATTTTCCCTCGAAGTACAGTTTAGAAATAATTTTCACCAAATGTCCGATAATCACCATAAATTGAAAATTTTCATATTTGAGCTGACAGAGGTACTGCTAATCTGTAAATTAATTTGAAATGCAAATTTCTTTTTTCTTTACAAAATATATATGGAGTGGAAAGCTTTTCACAGAGATCAACATAAATTTTTTCAAATAAGTATAAATTAATGAAAATAATTTTTTTTTTGTAAAAATAACTTTAATCGCAATATTACTAAAAATATATTCCATAATAACAATTAAATGATAAGAAATTTATAATTAATCTAATAATTGACTTTTTTATTATACGAAATATTTGTATTAAAAAATATGTAATGAAATCATTAAATTTAATATTATCAATTAATAACATTGATTCAGAATGTTTAAAATAATAATGTTTCTAAAAATATATTTACCTTTCTTAGTCGATATGTAATAAATTTAAAGCGTGCCTTTCTTCTTTTACCTCCAGAGAGACACATTTATTTTTTATTTTTTGGACATCTATTGACTCCTTTTTCGTACTGCATAACCCTAGTTTCCGAATTCCTAATATTGACGAATCACATGGGAAGTCGAAAGAATTTCCTAGATCTTCGATTTTATGCCCTTCTATAGATATATTATTTTCTTGCGACTTTGAGAAACCAGTTACTTCAAAAAATGTGTTGTCCTTTAATATGACGGTATTATCTGGTTTACAATTTCGAATCTTCATTTGTCTCAACGTTAAAGATACAATTGCTCCTGATTTGTCAGTTTCCTCCTGAATTGAGTTTTGTTTTCGCTGAACAGGGCAATTTATTGCTAATTTAAATTCTTCCAGTGATTCAGGACAATTTTCTATTTCCGAGATTCTTTGGATGAGTTGTGGAACTATGTCATTTGGTCCTTTTATCATTGATTTTAGCAATCCCAGGCAGTTTTCAAAAGGAAATGCCGTAACTGAGGACAACGACTTTCTTATAAGATCAACATCATCGGCAACATGCGAAAGATTGTGGTTATTCATTGTTTGACAATCTTCTCCATAAAACGTAGGCATCAAGATGACATATTGCTGCAAAAGCGTTTTTGCGTAGCTACAATGTTCTGCCGCTAATTCCTCTGAGCAAAGAATGCGACAACCAACAAATAAAAGCATGAAGTGTTCGTAGGTGTCTTTTTTTAAAACAATGGCGCTGCAATACAATAAAACGAAACGATACTGCGTAGCTTTCCAATTCGATAAATCACCAGTTTCCAAACTATTCCTTTGAAATTCACAAGTTATTCCTGACGAAGCTTCGATCAACAATTCACTCAACGATTGTCGTTCTTCTATATTTAACTTGCCGAATCGTTTTTTAGTGCTATACCATTCATCAAGTAAGTATTTCATTGCGCCTCGAAATAATAAATGCATAATATCTAAAAAAACGTGTTTTACTGGGTCGAAATCGATTAAATTCAGAAGATAACAATCCTCCTTATGATGATCACTTTGCGATTGTTGTCGAAATGATTCATTCATTCGAGGTGCTGAATCAACTGTCGGAAATACTCTTTTTTTCTTAACTGTTGCACCGTGAACAACGCATCGCTCGCATGAAGAAAAACCCGTGTGTCCCTTAACGCCTTTTATAAATGCTCTGGCCGGAGTATCGCAAACGAATCCAAGTAGCTTTATGGAGTATAATTTTTGTTGAATTTGTAGTCCATTGCAGATCAGCAGGTTCATCTCTTCCACAAATTCTTTGAAAAAATCTTCAGCCGACCCAGGTTTTGAATCACCACCAAAAACGCCAATAATAACATCGCGACCACTTTCCATCAATCTTATATTATAATCCGCAGTTGAATCTGAGGGTAAAAGAGTTTTTGAAGACTTTGGAATGTCCGTGAAACCTTCTAATCTAAAAATTGTTAACAAATCATCAATACTGTTACGAGGTAAATGCTTTCTGTTCTTTATTGCCCAAACGTGCAACCTGTTTCTCAAATTCGAAACTTTTACTTTTGATTGTGTATTGGTGCCAGAATGATGAGCCGATGCTCTATCACTGTTGTCTGGTAGAGTGCTGCTGTTATTCTGATCGTCTATTCCCTCAACGATATCTTGGTCTAGAGTTACATCATCGTCATTGTGTAAGTATTCATCTTCAATACGTGGTTTTTTATTAACGGTTGCTTCATAGTTTCCTAGATGCTCCTCGACCATGTGGTTGTTTTCTAATTTTTCGTCATCGTCGGAGTTTTGTCCTTTCTGCTCTACCTTGGTACTGTTATTTTCATTTTGTTTTGCAATAGGATTGTTAATATTGTTGGCGGATTCCTTTTCCAAGCTTCGCTTCAACTCGCGATGTTTTTTCGTTCGATAGTAACTGGACATATTGCAGTCGTTACCTGAAAAATATAGGAAATTATTCAATTAAAAAATGAAGCTCATAAAAAAACAAAATTTACTAATTTCTCTAATTCTCTATATGTTCTACAACTTTTATGCTAACATGACTTTCACCTTGCAATACAAATAATTTTTTTTTCTTATTAAATATATTTTTAATATTAAATAACGACAGCTTCAGACAAATAGAAAATTTTGATTTTAATGAATCACTTATTTTCAACATTTTGCTCTTCAGAAAATACATTATTCCAAATCAATCTAAAAATTTACGAACACAAAAAAATTATATTTCCTTAAAATTTTCCCAAAGATTAAAATTAAAATAACAATATTTAATAATATGATGTTAAAAAAACATTTTAAATATCGAACTTACAATTCAGTGTCACAGCAACGCATAAAATCCAAATGCACACCAGTAGTAATAATCGCATTTTAATATTTCCTTCTTCAGTTAACTATAAGATTTTATAACATAAGTAATTATATAATTTTTATTTTCTTACAATACTACATTTAAAAAAAATCGTTTAAAAATAAATGTTATCCTTCTTTAAAGAATAATACACGGAGAGAAATTTATGCTACTGGGTAACATAATGATGTTAAGGGCAACCATATTTAGTGCTAAATATACAGACAGCGATATATATTGTAGTATTTACTATCAGATTATTATAGAAATTTGATTGTACAATTTACAATCTTTGATGTTAAAAATGTTATACGATCAGAGATAGCTATCAGTACTATCAAAGATATACACTATTAATATAATGATTTTAACAAAACTAAAATGTAAATTGTGAGATTTAAATTTTTTAATTAATACGCTTTTTTAAGAAATGGCAAATTATTTAAATAATATTAAAATAATGAAAGAGGAAATTACTTTGTCAATATTTTATTCATATATGTTTAGAAACAGGGGGTCATTTTTAATGATTTTACAAAATTTTAACTAATTCCTGTAATAAACATTTTTCAATTTTTTTAGATTTATTATAAAAACAATTTTCTGTATAGTGAGAATAAAGAATTTCATAATAAAGTTAACAATTTTTTTTTAAATCAAACAAATTTTATCCAATTTTCTTTAATTTTATATAAAATAAAATAAAAAAATTATATATAAAAAATTAAAATTTTAAATAATTTCAATTTAAATTAAATTTTATATTTCCTGAACAGTTTTTGGTATAAAAAATTAATTTTATATTTTTTTACTTTCTTAGTACAACTTATTATTATTGTTGATGAATTTATAGTTTTTTAAAAAAGTTTTTATGGGTATGTAGTTTAACAAGTGATAAAGGATATTCAGCGATAGGGATAAGCACATTAAAAAAAAATACAATTAAATTATAAGAACTATTAATTTTATTCCGTTATAAACGTGGAACAATGTAAATTTTTAAGAAATCATCTCTAAACACTTTAATTTGAGGACTATGTGATCGTAAGTCCGACTGACTAATGAACATTTTTTTAGAACTAACAGTAACATTAAAAGCGCACAAAATTTCGTCGAAAAATTGTGTTTGAAAAATTATTAAATGGAAAATTACATCTTTGTCTTCGTTGTTTAACAAAATGTTTTGTATCTCACCAAAGACAGGATAATCACCATCAGTGTTTAGAGAGACTATGTAGCCATTTTTATAGGTAGTATTATGGACTTTTACCCATGGAACAATCGAAAATTTGTCACTACTTATAGTTTCTCTAAATTCTTCTAAATCTCTATCAATCTCCATACTTTCAATTCGACCATGAGATAAATCTTTCTCAAAACCAGTACCTGATGCGAGTCGATGTGCAAACTTTAATTGCTGTTTCACAGCAATAGTGTGGGAAATATTCACACGACTTGCGACAGGATTTGTGGATAATTTGCATTCTCTATGTTTCGATTCAAATAACATGGAAGAAACATTTGACACGGGACCAATTTTTTTAATTATATCAGGATAATGAAGGAAGAAATGATGTTTCGGCTTAAGTGGCCCAAATAATCTTATGTATAATTCGTGATGCTCCTGAATTAATGTTTTTAAATGATCGCAACACTCCAAATCAAAATGTTTCGGCATCAAAAGCGACATAATTTCTCTTAGTTTAATATATAAAGACCAATAGTCATTATTTTCTAGAATTTTTGAGCCAAAAATTATGCCCACATACGTGACGAAACATTTCATTTCGGCTGCAGACATTCGGAGACTTTTATTTTTGATATTTTCGAATGTTATTTTTGGAGGTTTACAAGACTCAAAACCAAAATTGAAATTAGATAATTTAGCGTCGAAAATTTCATATGGTATAATTTTGTCTACTATAATAAGTCGATGTAAAATTAATCCCATTTCTAATGAGGTTATTCCCTCCCAACCGTCGTGCATGATATCCACAGCATAATTTTCTAATACATGGTAAGAAAATACGTCGTTGAAAATGCAGTTTTCTTTTACGCCGTTTGTTTTTAATTCACAATCTCGTACATATTCCTCGTATGATCTCAAATGTGTATTTTTTACTGATGTCATGAATCGAGCTTCATGACGCGTTGCGTTACAAAATCGGCAATAGTTGGTTGAGTTGAAACTTTGATTATATCCTAAAATCTTATTCATTCCTAAATTATCACCATGAGCCATTATAAAAATAAAATATACTTGTATTTTACGTTCTTTTGTTTCGACCAAAATACCATGCTTCTCCAATTCATTAAAATAATTTATTAATTTTGAAAAAACTACTCTGGACCCAAATTTTTTTAAATCTGCTGTATAAAAATAAGAAGCTGGGAAAATATTCTCGAGAAAACTATTATAAGGTGGTGGTATTCCAGGTATACTAATATAAGCTGCACCAACTTGTTGAATTCCTGAATGAGACCCAACTAAATTTCCCGTCTCAAAATCATCATAATTTAACAGAATTGGAAAGACTGTTTTACCATCAAAATTAGCAATTTTAGTTTTCCATAACTCTCCCTGCAAAATACTGCTAAGAACCGAATTATTTTGATTTTGCAAATCGTTTGCGTACTTTTCCATCGAGTCTAAAACACCATCGATCTCAAGAAACTTTTTTAAATTTTCAGCTATATTCATTGTGTCTGCTTTATAATTTTTTGGAGTCTGTATGCCATTTATATTTTCAAAATTTTCTCCAATGATATGTGGTTCTGGTTTAATATATAGACCATTTTTTTGTAAATATTTTAGTCTTAAATGCTCCGTTCGAAATTTTTCCATATAATATAATTGAAACATTGAATTAACTTTGTTTTTTACCTCGAGTGGGACTTTATACTGATCAAATATTGTTAATACTTTCGATTTTATTATTTGTAATGGTAAGTTTATATTGTTAAATTCATCAATAATGACCTGAACGATGTTTCGCGGTAAAACACTAATACTATAAATAAAAGTTATGAATGTGCACATTTGTTTTTCAATAAGTTCCAAGAGTTCATCGTCAGTAGGTAATTCGTTTACATCGTTTTTCTTACTATTATCAGTACCGATGCAAATACTATCGTTACTTGTAAGGGTTGAATTATTGCAATTATTTAGTGAGGTACCCGGTAAAAATACTTGACTTTCAGATGTAATTGTTGTATCTCGACTTCTAGATTTTGTAGTTGGAGCCGAGTTCATTTTCGGCGAGTGATCTGTTTGTAAATGGTTTCTAAATGAATCGAGTAATGAAAAACTACGCGTACAATTATTTTCTACACACACATAGGTACTATTTTTTTCCAATTTATGAACAATTCTATAATGGCATATCAAAAATTTGATCGAATCAAAAGAACGTTTACATAAGTAGCACTTCATTGTTAGATTTCGTAGTACAATAAATTTCGGATTAATAAATATTGCGAGGAACTCTTAAATATACACTAAAACGTCAATCGAGAACAGACGAATGTGCAGTGCTGTTCTCGATTGACGCGATTTTTATCGCTCGAAAATAAAAACACTCAGGGCCGTATGAAGGGCCTTACGCAACAATGTGAATTCTATCTAGGGGATTTTCACTAGTGGGGCACTGAATCCACCTTAAATTTAAAAATCACAAGTACGACTTTGGCGTCAGTCATAACCTAAATTCTACCCGCTTCCCCACTTCCCTTCAAGTGTTCCCTTGCTCTGTTCTCGACTGACGTGTTCTCGATTGACGTTCTAGTGTACTTGTCAGTATAAAGTTTTTTTTATAATATATCAAAGCATTTTGCGAATACGAATAAAAAATACAATTTTTTTGCAATATTTTCAGAAGTCTTCGTACATATACAAATCTAATTATAAATCTTTCTCTTTTGTAATAAAAATTTTTTTTCAATATTTTTATAATAAAATATTTAAAAACATACTACTACCTAGTTCTCTCTTTTCTAACTACTAATAAACATTTTAAACTTTCAACATTTTTAAATGTCTTAAAAACGTATTTATATGTTTTTTTAAAATCTATTATCACCAATATATTATGCAAACGTTTCTCTTAATATTTATTATCACGAACATATAAACAAAATATCAGTCTTTTTTAAATACTGTAGTTAATTAAATTCTAGAAACGGGAAACAAGATTTTGAAGGTACTCTATACCTTTTTCTACTGAAATCCTGCTTTTTTTAGATCTGCTAAAACTGAAGAAATTCCGGTGTAATTCTTCTCATTTGTTTCGTGAATGTCGTATACATATCTTTGTAGAAAATTCCATACAGTTATGGATTCTGCACTGTATCCTGCATTCAACGCAAAAATACTCTTGAAACAAGAGTCTAACGCTTTGACTACACTTTCCATAACATATTTCTGATCGTTGATCACCAAGTAGATTCTGGAAGGCAGGCTCAGTTTCCCAATGCAAACAATAAAAGGCTGAATAGTATCTCCGTATTTTACTAATTTAGTTTGCCTTATGTTCAGTTCTTGGATATAATCACTCTCATTCTACAAAAAAAACACAAGTTGTATAAATATAAATAAAGTTTAAATTCTTTTAAAGATAGGTTAAGATATCCACTTTTTTATGAATTTAAGATTATAAATTTAACTCTAATAGCCATAAAAATTATAAGCAAAATAAATAATCGATAAATAAATTTGTGCACACATTGAGGTGAAGAAAGAAGCTTTTCTGACGTTCTAATCGTGATGGTCTCCAACATTTCTTTCCTTTATCTTTTGTGTTGCCTCGGTTTGTAATTTGTGGAAACAAATATGTAAAATTATTTAAAGCGATTGCATCTGTATATCAATAAATTATAATAAATCAATAAAATAATACATAATTTAAAATTTTGTTAATAATTCATGGTGATAAATAATTATCAGTAATTAATCATACTTACTAAATAATAAATGCATTACAATAATAAAATTATGTACCTCTGTTTTGAGGAGTAATCGAGTCTTGCGTGAGAATGCTTTTTTCTATCAAGCTTGCACAAATAGCTTGTGCAAGATTTTCCCATCGCGAATATAACTTATTGCTTGTTAATACATTAAATTTTTTATCGAAATCTGATAGAAGCAGTCTCAAACCGTCTTGCATTCGGAGAATAGGAAATTCTTCCATATAATCTGAAATACTTTTATTCTCTAGAACACTCCATCTATGGGAGAAAGTTTTTGTCCAATGTTTCAAAATTTCTTCGAATGGTTCCAAATTACTTCTTAAAAATTGCAAAGATGCATTAATGTCTGCAATTATTTCAGGATCAGAAATTTTATAAGTGTTCGCCGATGAGATGTCATTTTCTGTTGGATCTTTTCCTAAACTTTTTTTCAAATAATTAAATCTGCTCCACAATTTTCCGCAATTCAACGTTCTAGGCGATGTTTTTGTTGCCCTTTTATACGGAACAAAATAAATTCCTTTATTTTCCTGTGGAAATGAATGAACTATTTCTTCACTAGCTTGAATAAATATAGATTTTGAAATTCTGAAAAACGGAAATAATATTAATTTTATATACATATACTATAATTTAGGTAACAGTAATAATAATATTGAAATAATTACGTGATTCCGTCAGTCAAAAAATTCAACAGTAAATGATCTACAACACATTTTGTTATAAGATTTCTGATTTTTTCATCAATCTTATTTTCATTACTCAAAACTATTTTCCCGCATGCTGACGATTCAAGATACTTGCGCAATCCCTATAAAATTTAATTTATTATTGCAATTAAAAAATAAAAATTGAAATTTGTATTAAAATTGGCTTTATAAATATAAATTGTTAGTTAATTAAATTTAATTTATAGTTAAACTTACACCAGGAAAGAGTGAATTTGAAAAAGGTTCTGATGATTTGAAGCGTTTTTCTAATTGCCCAAAATTTTCTTTGTCTGGCTGATTATTTCCTACATTATTATCGACCAATTCTATAGAATTATCCTCTTCGACTTCATTGGATTCTATTACATTATCCCTTGAAATGATGGGATTTTCTGCAGTCGCCAAAATTTTGTAATTGTTAGACAGATTCTAAAAAAAAAATTTGAAATTATTATTTATTTAAAAAAAAGAAATATTTAATTTATTCTTCCACAATTATTTAATAAATTAGTTTTTCGATTTTTTGGAAGACGTGAAGGTAAAAGAAAAAACAATCTTTCACTTTTCTTTAAATTTTAGACAACGTTTCGGTGGTCTGGTTCGCCACCATCATCAGGTCACTTTAATAAAAATTATATTCAAATAAAAACAACACAAATTTAAAAATTTCAAAATTCTAACATTAAACAAAAAATTAAAAAATAAGGTAATTAGGTAAAAAATTAATTTTTTTATTTTTTATTTAATGTTAGAATTTTTTTTAAATTTGTGTTGTATTTATTTGAATATAATTTTTATTAAAGTGACCTGATAATGGTGGCGAACCAGACCACCGAAACGTTGTCTAAAATTTAAAGAAAAGTGAAAGATTGTTTTTTCTTTTACCTTCACGTCTTCCAAAAAATCGAAAAACTAATTTATTAAAAAAAAGAAAATTGCTCGTGATAACATATTTAAATCTCTTTACGTTCTCGAGTGGCAAATATACACGAACCTAACCTCGCTTTTTTTGTAAACTTAAATAATTTCATTTTATTTTAATAAGACATTTCGATAAGAATTTAAACTTTTTACATAAAAAAGAGTATGTCTATTTTTTCACTCCGTCTATAAAAAGGACTTGCTTAAACATAAATATATTTATCAAACGGTATATTTTTTTCACAAAGTCAATTGAATTTGTATTATTTTACTAATTTTTAAGTTTAAAAAAAGTAAGAAAAAATATGAAAAAGTTTTTTTTCCAAAAAAAAATTTCAATAAACACATGTACATTTATACAAATGAAAAAAAAACTTACTTGATTTTTGTAATCTTGAAATTTTTTAAAAAATTTTAAGCGAGGCCCTGGTTTTGGAATAATGAGTGATATTGTATCCTTGTCCAGTAAATTAAACGATTCTTCATCAATTTCACCGTCTAAACAACGCAAAATTGTTTTGAGGTTATAAACACGTTCACACTTCAGTCTTCGCTAATTCAATCAAAATAATAAACCTACCTTCAAAAGATGGAATTAAAGATTCCATATTCCATGACATTAATACATTTTTAACGAATTCGTCCATTTTTTTATTCACAACTTTTTTCACTATGTATAAACACGTGCGTGAAAACACTAGGACCGCAATTGAATAGGCGAAGTATACACCACAATCAGCGCATGCGCTCACATTTAATTTTTGCAATATTTGATAGTACTGACTACAATCCAAAAGCTAACATATTTTACGTCTTTGGGTAACATCTTGGATAGTAAAATGTTGATAGTAGATTCTCATCAGTAACACAATGATGGTACCTTGTACAATCTTTTTTTTTTTATAAACTCAATATTTGTAAAGACATAACCTAAAAATTTTATGTATACTTTCATCTCAGTTGCAGTAAAAATATAATACTGTTTCATTATATTATGAATTTATATATTAAAACTAACACTTTTGTTACCTTTTACATTTAATTAGTTATTCTTATAACTCATAAAAATGATTTACTCGAGCAATATTCCTAAATATTCCACATGAGTCCTTGGCAAATCTAGACTGTCTGCTAAATCTTGCACGCACGCGCGTACGCCATTTTAACTACTATACAGTGTTACCCTTTTTAACTTGAAAAACTATATTTAAATAAAACTTAAAATTTAACAAATATTTAATTATAAAATAAAAACACCTATGAAAAAATCAAATATTTCAGTACTGTCTGTGCTCGTTGTTCGTGATTTGTTAAATAATAAATAATAAAATAATATAACAATAAATTCAGTGATTGGCAACAGTGAGAATGTGATGAATAAGACTTTCCATAGTTTCTATCAAGAAGAACGTGAATTGATGAGAATATAAATAAGTGAAGTTTCTTTTGACCGTTGAGTTGAAATAATTTTTATTCCATACATAGTACTTTGGATTAAAAATAGATCAAGTAAAAGGTACGTACTTCTGAAATTAATTTTTTTTCTCGCATCTATTAAAATTATCCTATTGAATTCAGTTATTTGATATTCAAGTAAATGATGTTAAACAGATATATTTTCAACACTGACATAACCTAAAAAAAGTATTATGGTGCGACTATAAAGGTGCGACTATTGGAAAAAATATATTATAAATTTGTTTAAAAAGGACCAAGGATGATACATTTAAATTTTTACATATATAAAGTTTAATTTTATAATAATATCGTTTCAATAGTTTCAGAAAATATTCAGGATGTTTCTCACTTTTATTTAACTTGGTGTTGAAGAAATATTGTAAAAATGCAATTGAAAGAAAATATGTTTTAGGCATTTTACTATTTCATAATTTTATGTACTAATTTAAACATCATAATTACATTATTAATAATAATTTTTACATATTTTTAGATGTCAACAGAAATGAAAAGCAATGCGAAATATTTATTGGTAGAGTTTATTCTCCCAGGGAAAAAGAAAACACAAAAATCAAACAATCATTCTCCAAAATCTGTCGACATTGTTACATCCCGAGCGAAAGGCGAGGTTAATAAATATGTATATTTTGAATATAATTTTAATTTATAAGGGAGGCAAGGTAGGCTGATTACAGTCAGATTGGTAAGTTCTGACTATTTATTTTTATGTGAGATCGTTGTTATCTATCGATCCTATGGGGGTCGTCTTTATTAGTTTATTTAACAATTGGTCAAACTTTATCCATTATTTATAAGATTTATGAGTTTTATGATTAAATTTTGAATGAAATGAAATAAAACGAATTTATAGTAATCTTTTGATTTATTTCAATAAAATATTTGAAAAGCAAATGATATGAAAAAGTACAGTTTTGATGTGAATACAGGTGTTAAAATTTAATGTGAAAATGTAGAAGTTAACAAATAGATAATTGGTACTTACAACTACCTCTTATGAGGGCCGAAAAAACAAGATGATTCAAGTGGTTGACACTTGAGAATTTAACGCAGCGGTGTTCTTTCAACTTCACACAGAATCGTTGTTTTACACACACTGTCTTTAGTTCATAACTTCCGAAATTTTACTTATTTTCAAAAGTTACACTAATTCGACGGTTAGATGCGAATTTTAATAATGTCTCACAATTCAATTTATAAGAGAACTTATTCTTTAAGAACACGAGTTTACTTAGTTTTAGAAATTTGCAAGTTTAAATTAAGTGCATAACCGAAGGGTCTCTCGACAGAACGTTAATCTCTGCACAAATGTCTCTATTCGTATTTTGATATGATTTTGCAGATTTTTTTTGAGAATATACTCGCAAGTCGGGCGACCAAGAGAACTTATTCTTTTGAACACGAGTTTACTTGTACTGTTAGACTTGAAAGATTTTACAATTATCGAAAATAGCAAAGTGTTGACTTATTATTTGACGTGAAGTGCGATCTTAGAACCGGAGAACTGACGACGCCCCATGCTAATTGCAGGGTTTTTATACTAGCAAAATCATCCTTCAGTGGGAGAAAATGAGCAGAGATCACGTCCTGATCGAATTATAATTTTAGAATCACGAAGACAATTTCTTGGATCTTATAGATATAGGTCGCTGGTCGGCATATGCATCTACAGTCTTTTCTATAGGGGTATTGTATTGCAACGCGAGGCGAAAGCTACCCTGTGGTCACGTAGCATAAGCTTATGTGCTTGCGCCTCGCGATGCAATATATGAGTCATATATTGACTTCAGTTGCGGATGCTACAATTTTCTATTGGTAATGGTGTGAAAATCATATCAAGTGGCATAGTATAGCTGTAAGAAGACTAAACATTTAGGTCTCTTACTACCAAGAGTATTATTAAATGTACATGCGACTTGATATGATGTAAACACATCGGTAGATATTAGCCTATGCAACTGCATAAGACTCATCGTGAGAAAGGAATTGAACAAAGAATCCTTTATTTCAAACTAAAATGCTTCCAAAACGACTCGTAGTAAACATGATTGCTTGCAAATATTAACAGAAGGAATGGGTGAGAACAATGAATTTTCTTATATACACCCTCCTTCTACTAATATTTGATAATTTATATTATTTTATGTATATACGTGTTCTTTATACTTTTAAGAAAAGATTTTTGTTACGGGATGTAACAACATTTTACCCATTTCTTGGGTATTAGAAATCAGTAAGGACAAGTGGGAATGCAAATATCCTGATGAAAATGATTACCAGAATTTGGATGAGTGGATTCAACAAGAAGTTCCTCCTGGGGAAACTTGGAAACTTTTTCCGATAAATGTGATTACAGAAGCTCGTATGTATAGTTTATTTATTTTAATTATTTATTCATTTTAGTATATTTATTTTAACTTTATTTTTTATTTTCTCTTTAAATTCATTCTTAGAAAACGATATTTATATTTTTAAATTAAAAAATTTAAGTTTATACGAAACAGTAAAAATTTTAACATATAAAAAAAAGAAATGAAATTCAAAGCATTAAATGTGATTAAAAGAATTTTTATGTAGACAAAATTGATTTATTTTAAAAAATAATAAAGTAAAACATCATTTTCTGAAAGTGATATTTTTAATATAAATTTTAAACATTACCGGTAATAGATCTATCACGATAAAATTTGTTTGATAAAAGGAAAAAACTATTTTTGTAAATAATTAATGTCAGAATAAATTGGAATATTTTGTAGGGTTTCCAGGAACTTTTTTTTCAAATAATTAATACACTGCTTTAAGACTTGATAGATATCTTAATATATATTTACAAATATTCGTCTTTTGCTATTCATTTGACAATTTTTAATATTTATAATTAAAGGTGATTACGAGCAAGCATTTCGGAGAATGAATAGGATGTGTGCGCAAGGTTTTGTGGAAAGCAGCAATATTGAAACGGAGATAGAAAATGCTGCTACAAATGTGCCAGAGGAGGTTCGATAGAATTGATTTTTTTATTTTTTAATGATTTTTTATTTATTATTATTTTATTTTATTTATGGATCGTAGGTCTTTTAACTTTTTTTGCCACATATATAGACAAAGCAGATAGTAAAAGAAAAAGTATTATTTTCATAGAGCGAATAGGAGCACGTAAATTTATTTTTCTCAAAAATAGAGATTATTGAAGATTTTAAATTTAATTTTTAAATTGTTATATTTTCAAGGATATTTACATAAAGAATTTGATTGCAATCTTAAAAAATATTAAAAATCAAAATTATTTAATTTTAATTCTTCACAGGATTTGCTGTTTAGTTTTAAAAATTTATTTTTTAGTTACACTTTTTTTTAAATTACCTTATGAGTTCAGAATGAGATTCTAAACCTGACTTGGAAAGTTTTGAAAATTTTTATAAATAAAACTTAAAATTTTTTTTAAAATAAAGTAAATTTTTTGTTTTCTAATCTAAAAAGTGAAATTGCAAACTAAATATCTCGAAAGAGTGTATATGTATGTATTTATTTATTTTATTTATGAAAATTGAAAATATAAGTTCTTTGCGGTAATGAGTGTTATAAACTCTTATTAAATACTTATTGAAATACTCTTAGTATGAAAGAGTTAATGTTTATTTTATATGTAACAATTTAATATATTTTTTTTAAACTAGAAAGACGATTAATTATGAGGCATCCTGAAGACTCGACCTCAAGCGAAGATGAAGTTGCAGAGAATGACAGACATTTAAAGAAACAAGTGTCTTCTATTGAAGCAGAAAATAGTGAGTTTTAAATATATTAAAAATATTTTTAATAATATAGTAATTTCAAAATTTCAAAATGAAATCAAATTGATTTGCACACCAATTTAATTAAATTTTTTGTTCAATCTATCATTGTAAACCCATATTGTTAAATAATATTTACTTTAAAAATAATAACATTTATTTTTGCAGAAAATTCTCCACCAAATGATAAACAAAATCAGAATTCAGAAGAAAATGTTGTATCCATTTTAGCTGAATTTAAAAAAGAATGTAAGTTGGTTTTTTGATATTTTATTGTATAATTAAAATATTATTTTTCTTAAAATTTTTTTTGTATTTTCAGTTATTGAAGCTTTAAGTGCTACAGAAAATAAAGTATTGAAAGCTGTAAGTGTTTCAAAAGATGAAATGAAGGCTTTAACGAAAAAAGAAATTATTGCTTCAGAACGACGTGTTGAATACGACGTTAAACAAAAAGGGAATGAGATTATTCAACTTATAGAGACAACTGCGGCTTCATCTGACTTAAAAACGTTTCTCGAACAACCATTCATCAGTCAGCTCCTTTTAACAACTGTCGAAAATTTCGAAGTCTTTGACACTGATTTAAAAATCAACCAAAAATTGCGTCAAAAATTGGTAAACATTCACATTATTATCATTCACAATAAAAGTAACATTTTTAACATATTTCTTTTACATCTAAAATTCAAAGTCAATTTGTTTTATTTATAAAACATACAAAAGTAATATTAAATATATAATTAATGTAACTTACCTTCACATACATGACTTTTTCATTTTTAGCACACACACCTATTGCGTAAAATCGCTGGCACAAAAGACATTAATGAAGCAGTAAAAGCTGTAATGCCAACATTAATAAAAAAAGAAGTACAGAAAAACTTTTCCGGAAAGGGTAAATCATTCAGAGGAGTCAAAAAAGCAGCTTTTTCTGAAACTACTTTATTTTCGTGCATTTCAGGTAATTTATACATATTTAATTTTATATATTGTCATTTAATGAATGTTTTAAGTACTATGGGATTTTACCAAGACAATTATTTAGTGGTAAAATATTCAATTTATTTTTTAAAGTTTTTAATTTTTTTTTAAATTTTTATCATATTGTTTTCTATAAAAAATGATACTCGTTCTTATATCAAAGTGGATATTAGTAACAGTTAATACAAAATTAATATAATTATTTTTCCACTTGTATTTATCGTTATAATTTTTAACTTTTTTTTAGCTGTGATAACTTTTAAAATTAAGGATTCGAACGATAAAAATATTGGCAGCGCCATAGGAGTGTGGCTGACTCAATATAAAGATAGAGAAGGTGGGCGAAAGTTGCGACAGGAAGAGGCGAGGAACAACTCCGATTCGATGAAAACTGGAGAACCAAATTCTCCATTACAAGAGGAACCAAAATCCCTTTCTTTAAACGAAGAATTGAATTCTTTCTCAGAAGAGAATTCCAATTATTTAAATGAAGAATTGAATTCTTCATTGCAAACGAATCCGAATTTGAAGATTGATTAAAAAAAATTTTTTTTATATGTTCAAACATATTTTAAACGCGATTTTTACCTGCGGTTGTAACAGGGTTAAATTATTAAAGCGAAGAAAAATCGCAGTCTAACCTACAGAATTTCGAAAATGAGTCGAAGACCTCATTTTTATTTATATTATAAAACAATATAAAGATGATGATTTCTGAAACCGCTACTGTTAAGAGTATCAAACATTTTTGTTCAAAGAGGATTTTTGAATTTTACGTTAAATGTAAATGTGTTTTTTACCTGTTGTTATAACAGGATTTAAATTATTAGAAGGGAAATGAAAGAGAAACTTCAGTTTATCACAAAATAATTTCGAAAATGATTAAAAAGTCCTCTTTATTTATATGTTTAAAATTTTTGCTTAAGAATATTTTCATATTTATACTAAATTTATAAACACGTTTTTTACAACTTGCTAAAATGCATAATAAAATATTAACAAAACGAAGAGAAAGCAAATTCTCACAAGAAAATTTAGAAACTGATTAAAAGATCTTCTTTTTGTTTATATTTCAGTACGTTGTAAGGATAATTATTTTTAAAAGTGTATGTTCAAAAATTTTGATGAAAAATGGTTTTGTATTTTTACGTTACATTATTATAAACGTGTTTTAAACTGTTGCTAGATTATTAAATTTTGTATCTGAGGTGTCAAGATGTGTTCAATTAAACCAAAACAATAAAACTTCTATTATAAAGATCAAACAAGTTTTTTTTCTTGTAAATATTTGGATGTTTTATGAAAAAGATCCATATGTATAAGAAATATATGAATCGGATAAAAATACTTGTGAACACTTTTCCTAATTAATTAAATAAATAAAAAATAATTTTTTTTGTTAACATTTACTAAACAAATATTAAATATTCATTAGGTATGTACAAATAAATAATTTTTTTATATTTAATTAATTCAATAATTGCAAAGAGTTAAATTGAAATTTGAAAATTCCCGCGCTGCGCTGCTCAGAACCATGTGCGCTGGAAAAGAATTTAGAGGAGTCACCACCAGGGTGCATGTGAGAATGTTCTACCCGAAAACAATATGCTCGACTAGTGTTATAAGAAGGGACTCCTGCACCGTCAGGAGCAAAATTTATTTCTATTCACCTATTGCTTAAGTGTGACTGGTGATTTTTTGGTACCTCTCTTTTTTTAGAGTTGTATAATTAATTAAATCTGTTTTCTTTCAATCTTGACAAGATTTTGTTGGCTTCCAATATTGGTACAATCTTTGTAGCTACAGATTAACCAAAGTTTTGGAAATGTTGGCTTCCATTATTGGTACAATCTTTGTAGCCATGGATTATCCAATGTTTTTTTATCCGATATTTGTCTTGGAAGCCAATATTAATCCAATATTGGCTACCAATGCTTGGCAAAGTCGTGATCATCCCAAGGTTCTAGCAATCGTTGTCCAATATTGGGAGCCAGTAGTTAACCAAGAAAAAATCTATTGGCTTCCAATATTGCCCAATATTGCGCCAATGGTAAGCACTGGCAATTTCCCATTGGGACCCTTTAAGTGCATAGTACAATATACATTTATATCCTAGGGAAATTAACCCAGGTCAGGAAAACTAAAATTAAATGAGCTATTTCAACAAAAAAAGCTACTTTGGAAATTCAACAGTAGAATAGGATCCTACATTACTAATCTATAATTAGATGTATGAATGTCTATAGTAATCATAAGTTTAGCACTTTAGATTCTACCAAATGCAGTTAACTATAAGAACGAGATGCCTCAATTCTTTCGGTTTCCTGTCAGTATAATTTTATTAATTGTCATTATCAAGCACCATAACCAAGTGATAGTAAAATATTTGTTATTTAAAATATTTGTATTTATACAGATTTATTAAGTTAAATTATTTGATAATTTTAAATTACCAAATTAATTTGTATAAAGAATTAAATGTTCAATAAATAACTAAATTCTTTCAGTGTTAGAGCAAAAAAATCCCAATTTATATTTTAAAAATGTCGTTTTTAATTAAAATTAGTCGAAAAAGTTAAAAAAAAATAAAAAAAGTGGAAGAATTTGAGACCTGAATCAGTTTAAATTCCCTGATATTTCCCGGTTTTCCCGATTAGTTATTTATATTAATTTATACTTTATTTATTATGTTACTTATTTATTACTTTATTTTATTATTTATTATTTTATCTTTAGAAAATTTTAGGTTTGTTTAGATAGTACGTACTCAAAATAACTGCGCAAATTTTTAATTTTTCGAAGGCTGGCTTATCTTTTTTTTGAGCTTTAAATGTATACTTGGTCTTAACTTCAAAAGTTAATAAATTGGTAAGTGCACTAGCAACAGTTTTATTGCAGTTGGAGCGCTTTCCCAAGGTCATAACAGCTGATATCTGAAATCAATTTACATTTTTATAATTTTTGCTCTTTCGAAAGATAATTATTGTATATATAAAATTATATATCATAATAAAATAATTAAAAAATTACCACTTTCTTCCTGAATCGGGAGGACTTTAGGAAACCCTCTAAGGAAGTCATTTCCTCGACCGTTTTGATCGGGAACATTTTCAACTCTTTTTCGCCAAATTCGCTCACTTTTTCCTTTCTATCTTTCGATAGATGAGTTAATTTTACATCTATTGCACATAATTTTTTAAAAATAATTTGTTAATGAACTTTATCTGAAAAAATATATTAAAAATTAAAAAAATTACATAAGATATAAAAAATGTATTTTAATAAGATTAATTTAATAAGAAGATTTTAATAAGAACTTTTGTCTAAAAGTTTTTTTTAATTTTGCATATTTCACTCAATAAACGAAAAAAAACATAAATTGCAGGACCATTTTATTTTTTTCACTATAAAAAACAAAATTTCGGGTATTGTCACTATGATTTTTTTCGTAATCAGCGCATCAAAATACATCAAAGTACGTAGTATAAAAAAATATTTTTACAAATACTCAACATTCAACATTTTTTTAAAATTCTGAAAATATTGAAAAAATTGTTTGCCCATGATCGGACTAGACTTAAAATTTTTGTAAAAGGAAGAAGTTTTTTGAAAATTGGAGATCCAATTGCAGATTGACTTCGAATTTGGCGTGGAATACATCAAATAAAATTGAATTTTAATTGATTAAAATTTATTAATTGAATAAAATATAATAGATTGAAATTTCAGTAGGTTGGATAAATTATTTCATTTTAAGAATAACCAATAAATTAATGAATTTTTCGATAAGTCGGAAAATTGAAAATTTTCATAGAACTTAAAAAGGAAGTAGATTTAATTTGTGGTCAATTCAATTTTGTGGACTAAAAAAAGTATTTTTAAAAATTTGAAATGCGAATATTTTTCGAATTAAAATACTTGCAATTTTAATTAACAACTACGAGAATGAAATTGTACTTTTAGTAGTATTACATAAAAAAGGACACATTAATATGTTCTACAGCGAATTTCTTAATTATCAATCGACAAAACTTTATTTCCCGAAATGATAATTTGGTGAAAAATTTATTTTGGCAGAATTTTCATTTAACATAATTTTAATTTGTTAGAAAATATATTTGATAACTCTTTAATTTTGCACAAAATTTAATTTTTCGAATTTTAATTTGTCATTAAGTTAATTTCATTGATTTTTAATTTGAAAAGAAGTAAATTTGACATAATTTTGATTTTGCTGAAAATCTAAGTGATTGAATTTTAGTTTCGAAGAAAGTCTATTTCATCAAATTTCAATTTTATGTAAAAATTAAATTATTTTTACTTTCTGTCAAAATTAATTTCGGTTAAATTTATTGTTTACCAAATTTAAATTCTGTCAAATAAACCTTCTGCTAAATAAAAATTTTATCAATTACAATTTCTTAAAAATTTGAAATTTGTTTAATTTACTGTCATTTAAAAGAAACTGCATTCTTACCTTTTGAGATATGTTCACTTTGTTTATCCATCTTTTCGGTATATTCCTCCCTAAGTAAACTGTCCTCCTCTCTCTGTGAACTGTCCTCCTTGCTTTGCAAACTCTCTTCATTCACCGGTTCTGTTTCTAGTTGTTTTACTGGATGTTGTTGTTCCAAAGGTTTCACCGGTAGTTCCATTGACATCATTTTTGGCTTAATGGTATTTTCAATGAAAGCTGCAATATAAAACAATGTGAAAACGAAAATATTAAAAAACTGAAAATCCTTTCTAGAATAATAACTTACCTAAAGGTTTCCTTTTTATTGTGGTGCTTGGTAATTCATAATCATATTCTGTTTTTATTTTCCTTAAATGTCGGGTTTTCTTTAACTTTTCTGCATTTTTAATCTCATCACTCTCGTAATCGCTAATTTTTTCTAACAGTTCCATCTTTTTCATCGCTGACTCATAATTAACTGCAATATACATTATTTAATTAAAACAATAATCGAGTAATATGCAGGCTTCATAGCATAAAATTTGTTAAAAAAGGGAATAGTGGAAATTTTGTTTCAAAAAAGAGAAAACATAGGGTAAAATCTGAATGTATATTTCTCTTAACCAAAATGCTGTAAAGTTGTTTTAATTACACTACCGGTGAAAGTTTTAACACCAGCCATTTTCTTAATGAATAAAAAACATTTAAAACATAGATAGCATAGAAACCAAATTTTTTTACAAATTTTTTAAAATATGTTAAATTTATAGAGAAAAGTAAGACAAATTTTGAAAAACAATAATTTAAAATTACTTTAAAAGAAGAAAAAATTCCAAGTCATCGTATAAATTATTCGAATTCAGAATTTTGGCAAACGTTCTAAATGCTTAAATTTTCAATGAAATTGATTAAAATATTATTGAAAAAAATTAATTTATTAATTGAAATAGTTGCAAATTTTAATTTCTGAAAATTATTGACAAAATTTTAAACAGTAATTGAATTTAAAAGATTTATGAATAAAAAGACTTGGATTTTTGAAAAATTGAATTAAAATGATTAAAATAATTAATTTTGCGAAGAATTTTAGATAAAAATTTTAGAAGTAATCTTTGGAAGAAATATATTTAAGTTTTTCAAAAATAATTAAAATTTCAGGAGATATACTAAAAGAATTTTTGTAAATTTTAATTGAGGAAGATTTTTTACGGTCGTACCATTAGTAATTAAGTCTAATTACCTGCGTATCGATGAAATTCTATAATTTTATAGAATTCACTATTTTTCGCATCGTTTGGCTATTAAAATTTTCACCAATTCCCTGGCAGGAATATTTGAAGGGTACAAACTTCCGACGATTTCCTCTTCTTCGAACACCAACCATGAGGAACAGACGATTCCCATGCCGTCTTTAAAACTTACGATGGCGTATTCCCCGAAATCTATATTCGAAATTGTTAATCGCACAATAAATCACCACGATGTGCACACGAGCCGGCACAGCAGTGCATGTGTTCGGGAAAGTCACTGACAGTCACTGGCAGTACAAATTACCCAATCAGGATATAGATTCTGTTGGATCAGCCCAATAACAGTATCACTGGCAGTGACTGTCAGTGTGATGGATCCCACAATCTACTTGTGCTTCCTGTGCTTGGAAACGCGTGGTACCACGTGACACAAATTATAAGGGCTCTATTTATATGAGCAGATTAGCGAATTACCGAAAATAATTTTTATCCAATTAAAAAATAATCTCTCAAGGAAAATATTACATTACCCTGATCATAATAGTTTCTCTCATTTTTAAATACCGGAAAAAACGGAGCGGAAGTGATAATCATTCTAGAAAGTTCGATAGCCAATTTCTATAGGAAATTAGCATAGCTACAGGTCAGTCTGCAACAAGTGCTATTTATCGCGAAAATAATATGTGTGACTTTGTCTAATTTAGTGTTTTCTATTAATTAATTATTAATTAATAATCTTCCCTAACTTGAAGTTTATCTTTTTTTAAGGTAAGTGATTTAATTGTTGGCACTGTGACAGTCGTTGCCAATTTTTAAAATTTGTAATATTAAACTAAAAACATTGAGGTTAGGTAACTTCTAGTTTAATGTACATAATATACTTATTAGAAATATATCATATTTCTTTCAAAAAGTTAATATTTTTATATTATCTTGTTTGAGTCGAAGTCGATTTTAGTTAAATTATGTAATTAATTTATAAAATTTTAGAGTGTGAATAAGTAAAATGCCAATGATTATTATGGCCATTAGGAAATTTTTAACGACTGGAACACTGCATTACAAAAAACAATGATTAGTTATTAAGAATGTTTTAGCAAATTTTTATTTAAAACTTATAATTTTATCCGATTTAAAATTTTCATAACATTTGTCATTCTTGACATTTTTAAATGATATATTTTCTTGTTGACTAATAATATTCACATAAATTTAAAAATGTGTAATTTTAAAAAAAGTGAAATAAAATATTTTCCAATTTTACTATTTTCCCATCTGAATGTTAACTTCTGCTTCAGCAGTTCATATTTTAAATTAGTTTATAATGCCAAAATTGTTGCAATATTTATAACTACAACAATTATTGAAATTACAAAAATTATTAAATTTTTGTTCATTTTTTTACAGTGTCAAAAATGAAAACTAAAAAAATATATAAAACACCACGCACGTGTGGCTTTTCCAACAGACATTTGCGCCGGATTATTAAAAAGAAAGTGAAGGAGGAAATTGAAAAACATTATCAACTTTATATTATTCGTAAACAATTATTATTTTATAATAAATAATAATTGTTGTATTTAAAAATTTATAAATAAATATTTATTGTTGATTACCTTATATCTAATTTAGTGTAAGTTGTTTTAACGCTTTTATACCAAAAAAAGGTACGTGGATATAAAACAAATTTTAAATTTTTTATATGATACGAAGAGCTCAATGTTCTATTAATATTAACACTTCATAGAAAAATTTTTTAAAACTATTGAACGTGAAAATTTCTTAAAACAATAATTATGTTATACTCTAATCTCCAATACATAAAGAACAATTTTTTTTATTTTTAAATTGGTCAAGTGACATTTTGTACACAATTTTAAATAATATATTTTTCACGTATTATTTTCTACTATTAAATAATTTAATTCATTAAAAAACTTGAAGTAAGCCTTTCAAAATAAAATTTAATCGGTTCTTTTTTTATATTTTTAGAATTAATTATTTACTACTAATTATTATACGAAACATAACCTAGATTAATCATATGGAAGAGTCGTAGCAACTTTTGCTTGAATTCAAATAAAATTCGCGAGGAAACCGACTTATAATAGCACTGAGTTCTCATTAAAAAAATTACTCGAACTCCACCTGATATTCAGGCGGAATTTATACAACACAAGCTAACCGGCGTATAGGTACACTGACATACACACGTAAACATGGAAGTGTCAGTGCATCACTGTGTGTACACGTAAATTTGCTTGTGTTGTATAAACTCCGCCTGAATATCAGTTGGAGTTCGAGTAATTTTTATAAGGAGAACTCAGAGCCACTATGAGTCGGGTTCCTGGCAAATTTCACTTTAATTCAAGCAAAAGTCGCTACGACTCTTCCATATGATTAATCTAGGTTATATTTCGTATAATAATCACCACAGAATTCTCTCCGTGTAGGGTTTTCAATTTTTTTGACTTGTTTGTCAATATATCATTTTTCGTGTTTTCACAATGTTAAAAATCTTTTTTTATATGAAAATTATATGAAATTAAAGCATTTGACACATTTGTACATATAATTCGTAATTTGTATATATATATATTTTATATTTTCATTCACCAAATGAAGCTTTACAGTTTTCTTTCAAAACTAAAATTTGTAAAGTAATTAAATTTATTATGATTTAAATACTTCCTTTAAATACTTTCCTTTACTTCAGGTAATAAAAAAACAATTAATTAATATGAGATCAATTTGAGCCGCCGGATATTATAACGACACATAAAATTTTTAAAACGGTATTTGTTGGCCCCTAGCATCTTAAAAATCAATTGTTAAAAATAAAATAAATTTTTTCAAATTTTTATTTTCATAATATTTTTAAAAAATTTATTTAAAAAAATTTATTTTTAAGGTGCCAGGGGCCAACGAATACCGCTCTAGAAATTTTATGTGTCGTTATAATATCCGGCAGCTCAATTCTTAAATGTAGGAGACAAAATAAATTTTTAAATAAAAGTTGTTAATCTTTAAGAAGTGTAAAAATATCTATTCTCAATTTTATCTAACGTGAGCTTTTTCACTAAATTTTGAAATAAATTGATTACAGGCTTATATATATTTTTTTTAATTTTTAACAATATTGAATTGTAAATCTTACTAAAATAAATTTAAAAAAAATTTTCTTTATCCTTTTACATGTCAATATGAAAGTTATGTCAACTAAATAGTCATGAAAAATTATTATGTGACTCTATTTCTACTTGTCCAAGCTTGAGCGTTAATTGATTCAACTAACACATTCTTGAAAATATTCATTTGCCTCGTATTCGAAGAATATATTTCCCTTTTCTCATTACAGTGTAAATTGCAGTAAATTAAATAATTTTTCAATTGAAAACGACGTAGTTGATACAGAAACTAGTAGTGGATCTGAAAACTCCTACCTAAGTGACAGTGAAAATTTCGATAAGACTTCAGATGAAGACGAAGAAATATTTTAAAAGAATTTCGGAATGAAAACAAAAGGGTTCAACATGTGAAATTATCATTTAACATTGATGGTTTATCTAATTCAAAATCGGGAACAGAAAGTTTATGGCTCATTCTTTGCTCCGAAATAAATGACAATATAGTTTTTCCAGTTGGGGCCTTCTATGGGAAAAGTAAACCTGACGACGCAAATGAATTCATGAAAGAATTTGTGAATGAATTCATTTCTTTGTGTCAAAATGGTTTGCAAGTTTTAAATGTTACAGTATCCTGTGAAAAAATTATATGTGATGCTCCGGCAAAATCTTTTGCATTCTACTTGAAGGGTCACACCGGATACAACAGTTACTCCAAATGTGAAATTGGCGGGATTTATATTTCACGACATGTAAGAAAGAAAAAAAAGAAAGGAATAGTATGCTTTCCTACGCCCAAAAGATTAAAATTGAAAACAGATGAAGGATTCAACCGTAATTATTATAATGATATTGAAAATGGGAAGGAAACAATTTTAAAATCAATTCCGAATTTCGGTTGTATATCAGGAGTTCCTTTGGATTACATGCATCTTGTTTTATTAGGCGTTGTAAAGAAAATAATTAAATTGTGGATAACAGGACCGTACGGAACTAAGTTACGAAGGAATGAAATAAACAAAATTTCCAAGAAATTGAATGCTCTTCGATACAGCGTACCATAAGAATTCGTAAGAAGACCTCGTTCACTATGGAATTATACACATTGGAAAGCAACAGAGTTCCGTACATTTTTACTTTATGCAGCGCCAGTAGTGTTGAAAAATATTAGACGAGATATATATGACCATTTTATGCTTTTACATACTGCAATATCAGTTTTGGTGAGTGACATTCACTTAGAAATACCAAGGAATATAGATGTTTGTCATGAATTTCTAGTGCGATTTGTTGAAGACTTTGAAACAATTTATGGAAAAAAGTATGTGTCTCATAATGTCCATAATTTGTTGCACTTGTGCAATGATGTTAAACAGTATGGTCGTTTGGATAAATTTAGTTCATTTAAATTTGAAAACTATTTAGGTTCAATTAAAAGATGGATAAGAAAAATCTTGCAAAATAAAACATTTAAATTGAACTGCAACGAGCCGAAGAATAGCTAAGTCCTATTAAAAAATGGAGTATTCGGTCAAGTTCTCAACATTATCGATTGCAACAACGAAATATAACTAATAATAAAAAAAATTAATTGTGTTGCTCCGCTTTACGATAACCCGGATTCTAGATGTATCAATATTTATAAGGGAATTCTTCCCGAGGAAGCCGAATTCTTAGTTCCATTAACGAATGTCTTATCTAAAGTTTGGAGAATCCCATCTAGTAGAGGGATGACACTGCTTCCTTTGCAACACACTGTTTAAGAATACGTATTTTATTGTACGTTTTGAAAATAAGACAAATAATAAGCTGAAATTAATTTCTGTATTTTATATTTTTAACTAAAAAAATGAAAACATATTATTAATGTAAAAAAAAGTTGCAGAAAAAATAAGTTTAGAAGGCGTTTAATTTTTTGAGAAAAAAAATTACCTATGTACGAAAGAAGAAAGAAAGAAATATGCTTAACTACCAGATGAAACTCTTAAAAAAAGGCTGGAACAAAAAACCCTAAAAAGGTATTTAAAATTTAAATTTAATAAAAAAAAGTTAAGAAAAAAGATGTCAAATTAATTAAATCTTTTTGGTTCAAAAATTTCTGAACAGCTTGTTGATTCTTTTTCGATTTTTCAGGTACGGAGTACGATAAAACTTTTAAAGTTGCTCTCAGTTTTAAGTGCGACTCATTTCCTTATGGACATGTTTATTTTAATTTTTCGAAGCTAATCTCGGCGAGACAGTATTTAGATAATTTACTCCAAGTTTACAGTTGGATGAAAAATATTTTAGTCAACTCCATTGGAGCTTTAGTATTTCTCAAAGACGTGGGGTAAGTGTGACAATTTTTCTGTTTAGAATTACTTTTAAATATTTTAAATTCTCTTTATTTTTCTTTTATTTTTCTTTTATTCTTCTTTCTTTTAATCTTCTTCTTCAGTTTAATAATAGACGCGTTTTGAAGAAAGAGACCTTAAAGCAAAGAATTTTCGATTAAGTTATGAAATTTTAAAGTAAAAATGCACAAATAGGAGCAACTTTCAATGCATACCAATAATGTTTACATCTTATAATATTTAAAATTCTATTTTTTATTTTAAATTTTTTTCTTTGTTTTCATTTTTTTCTTGTTTTCTTTTGTATTATGATGTACTTTTCCCGGATGATTTGAAGTTATTTTTATTTTTTCTTGCTTTCTCGTCTCCTTTTTTGTAATGTATTGTTCAAGTTAATATTAAAAATGGTTTTTATTTTTTCTATCTTTCTCGTGATTCTTTTTCCTTGATGTATTATTTTTATTAATATTATTAATATTAATTGACTTCTTCGATATGTTGCAGCACACGTGGGATAACAGACAAAAAAGAAATTTTGGAGTTTTTGCACATTCACAGATATTTATTGATTCGTCAAATAATTTGGCTCTTAAGGAGAAACACAAAATTATCAAAGCGGATAAAATAATTAATGTCAAGAGACATTATTTAAGTGACGAGTCAATTACAATTTCGGTACGCCAATTTTTTATGTAAATGTCCTCTTAATGATAATTGCATCATTTCGATTTCACAACACTTCCTGACCATCATTTCTAACTTTTTTTTAATTTTATTGTTTGTTTTAACATCTTATTCTAATATTCTGAAATGTTCGAAAATATTTTTCAATTCTTTCCAATATTTACTTTCTCCATAATTAATTTACTTTAATTTAAAAACTTTAATCGATCTTTTAATTTTTTATACAAATTAATTTGTTAATTTAAAATTATCAAATCAAATAATTTAATTTAATAAATCTATGTTAATATTAATGAAAAATAATGTTAATTAAATTGAATTAGAATTAAATAATGAAATTGTTTTAAAGATAATTAATTTTTTTTTGTTTATTTGTTGTGTTATCATTATTTTTAATAATTAATTAAAAAATTTAATTTCAGTGTTTTGGATGATAATTACGAATTTATAACTTAATTTTGTTTTAATGTTTTCAGAAACAGTATTACAGAATTATTTGTTGTTAAAAAAACTTTTTGGATGTAAATTAGCATTTTAAATGCAATGACTAAATTAATTCATCAATCCGAATGGAGGAAATCACTTGTATTTATGATCAAGGAAAATTGCATTGAAGATTTTGGCGATACTTTGATAATGGGACCTAATAAAAAATTACAAACATTATTGTATAATCTCATTTTACAATATGTAGCAGCTGTCAATCTTACCTGTAATACTATTTTAAAGGTAATTAAGTTTATTCATATTTTATTTTCTTTTTGCTTCTAATAAACATGAATAATTTAACTGAGTATCTTTAATACATTAAAAATAAAGTTGAAAATAATTATTTTCCTTATATATTTTTTAAAATAAAAAAAAGTTTTAAATTAAAAAATTTTTTTTTAATATTTATTACTTTTCAAATTAATTGTTTATTTCATATTTCCATTCAAACTAAAATACAAAAATAATTATACGTCTGTTTTAGATTCGTCAAATGGCATTCCAAAGGTCGAAAGGCTATATGGAGTTTTGTTTTTTTTTTCTTTAAATTAGGCCTTTTTTAATTTTGCATTTTAAACGCAAATAAATAAATTATGAAAAAAAATTATTTGTTTTGTCTTTTTTTGGGGTTTCACTTTTCTTTTTTTTCTTTAAATTTAACTTTTTTATTTTAATTTTGCAAACACACGCAAAAGACAACGTTTAATAAATTAGTTTCAAAAATTATAAAAATATTGCTGTTTCTTATGTCTTTCCATCCTATCCTTTTAATATCTATTTTATTATTCAATTATTTTCTCAGAAATTTCTCATTTATATTAACATTTTAAATTTTTAACAAATTCGCATTAAAATTACTCATGTTAATTAGCAATTGAACTATTCAACAAATTCGCATTTAATCTTCTCAGTAAGTTCGCATATATACTTTTTAGTTAGTTCGCATTTATACTTTTCAATTAGTTCGCATTGCAACTTCTCGGCGAGTTCGCAAAGCGAACTCACCAGTAGGAGGTCATTTTGATATTCACCATTACTTCGCAGGGAGTTCGCAATGCGAGTTACCGAACTTCGCGTTGCGTACTCGCCGCGAAATAACGTGCTATCTGGAATAATGCTCCAATTTTTTATGTACCATTTTCTGAAATAGATTACACAAATTAGAAGTAAGAGAAATTGGTTTAAAACGAGTACCTCCTGCTTTAGGTATAAAAATCACCCTAGCATTTTTCCAATGATCTAGAAATATAGACTTAATATAAAACTCATTAAAAATCCGAAATAAGAGTTTCCTACCAATAGAAAGTATGTGACCAATAATATCATTTGAGATAGAGTCAAGACCCGGAGATGAACCATTTTTACATAGTGAGATAGCAAAATGAAGCTTAAGACTTACTCACAATAACATTAGAAAACTTAGACCAATCAACAGTCTTAAGATTAAATTTATTATTGTAAGACTTAATGTGCTTAGGTTCAATATCAGAACTGGCGATAACTAAAAAATGATCCGAGGTAAAAGAATCAGCTTTAACTTCAACTGATGAAACTTGAGCAAGAGAGGAAGAAACAAAAATTAAATCTAAATTACTTTCAACACTATCCGATCTTATATATGTTCGAAATGAATCATTTAATGGTAATAAATCAAAATCCTCAATTGTATCAGATAAATCAGAACCACGAGAATTATTATAACTAGCGATATATTCCTCGCTCGCTAACGCTCGCTCGGTTGAAGTTTTACTTTTTTTTCTTTACGTATTGTAGTTTATTCATATGTATATTTATTTTTTGTTTTAAATTATTATTTCATTATAAATTATAATAATTCAATTTTTTTAATTTTCAAATTACTTTTTAAAAAAAATTTAATTTAATGTAATAAAACAAATTTTATATGTCTGTTGACTTAAATTCTGATTTTATTCTACAATATTGATTGTAAATTGTTTCTCTTTTTTTCAATTGCTACTAAATGCTATGTAAGGAAAACTGGTAAGGGCCTTACCACTTTTCCTAACGAATACCCTACTTTTTAATATTATATAGTATTCAAATTTGTAAATCTAAAAATATATTTTTAATTCAATATAATTAATTAGTACTATTAATTGATTATTTTATTAAATATATAATCGAACTGATCTTCGTATTTATCAAAGCCAAAACGCATGTTAAATCGTTTTAGCTATCTCCGTAATCAATGATTTAAAAATCTAAAAGGGTTATATCTTCGGAAGTGTGCATTGATTGAGTGCATTTGTGTAAAATTGGGAGTGACATGAGATGCTTTATTCTTTTTTTTTAGAAAAATTGTCAAGAATTTATAATTTAAAATTCAAATTTTATAAATATTTTTAAAAAAATTTTATGGTGTTGCTGTTAATGAAAAATTATAATACAATGTAATGAATATAAACATGAAACATCAATTCAAAAAACAAGATTTATTGATTCATTATATCGAAAAAAATAAACATATATCAAATTTTAAATTATTATTGTTAAATAATAATTAAATTCTTAAATCATAAGAAGTCTTATTTGTGTAAAAGTCATTTGCGACGCCATAATTACAGTCATGCATGAAATTATTAACATTTTTTCATTTTCCATTTCCATTTTTTAATATTATATAATAAAGGAACCCAAGCAGCACGGTGTATCCCCTCAACATCCCTTGAATATCACCGTGGAATATTCCAATGATTTTCTAAGAAAACCAAAAAAAAAAAATATATCCAAGCAATATTGAGGGAATATTCCAGTGATATGGATGAAATATTCCACGGTTATATTAAATTAAATTTTTTTTAATCTTCCTGATTATTTAAATAACAATTTATAACACAATTCCATGATTTCAACACATTAATAAAGTGGTTCATTTAATGAAAATATTTAGCTTCTTCATCTTGATTAACAGAACTTATACTATTAGTTTTAAAAAATTAAAAATTTTCATTTTTTGTGAAAAATAATGCCAGCAATTATATTCTGACAAAAATCAATTAAAATGTTTATATAGGAAAAAGTTATTTAAAAAATTCAATTAAAAAATAAGGAGAAATGTAAAAGATATCGAAAAATGAAAAAAAAATTAAGAATGAAGAAATAAAATTACAAAATATTGAAAAATGTAAAGAATATCGAGAAAATTGTAGAAAAAGAAAATTAGAAGCCAATAATAATATTAATTTAAACTGTTTGAAGTTAGCAAATAATATAGTAATTTGGATGTTATTTGTTAATTTTGTCCAGCATTTTCTTTCAGAAATGCCAGAGGATAAAAAGTTTAGTACATGTTGTCATAAAGGCAAAGTTTTGTTAACTGAATATCCATTACCCCCGGTAGAAGTAAAGGAAATAGTTTTTGGTCAAACTGCAATTAGTAATCATTATAAAAAATGTATAAGAAGCTACAACAATACAATAGCGTTTGCAAGATTTGGTGCAACATATGCTTCTCTACAAAATAAAGGTCCTCAAGTCTTTAAAATGTGTGGTCAAATTTACCATAACACATATTCATTACATCCCAAAGAAAATGAATTCAGAAAGTATGGTCAACTGTATATAATTGACAATGAATTAGCTACACAAAGTCGTAAAGATATTAATAATAACTGCAGAAATGATATTTTATCTAATTTAGATAAGTTGATCAGAAAAATTAACCCTTATGCTAAAGCGTACAAAATGATGTACGAAGTAGAAAAAGAAGGATAAGAATTTGTTACTAATAATAATAATCTACCTCGAGAAATTAAAATGATTATGAAAAGAGATATTAATTTAGATAAAAACCGATATAACTCTCCTGTTATAAATGAAGTTGCTGTTGTATTTGTTGATGAAAATGATGAACCTCCAATAAAACGCGATTTTTGTGTATATTCTAAATTTGATAAACCAATTAGCATCCCTGCAATAAGTAGATATGTAGATCCAATGACATATCCTTTAATATATCCTGCAGGAGGTAGTGGTTGGATGCCGAAATTATTATCAAAAGATCAAAGAAACAATATAACAGCTTTACAGTTTTACTCATTTAAAATTAGTGTTAGAGATGAGTTTAGTCCATTTCTTAATTTAGGTAAATTAAGCCAACAATTTATTGTCGATGCTGTTGTAAAAATTGAAGGTGCAAGATTATATTTTATAAAGAAACAACAACATATCTTGAGAACTGAATTATACTCTGGATTAATGGATTATTTACATAAGAGAAAAGAAGAGAAGAAAATTGTTCAAATTCGTAAAATGTTTATATTGCCATCTAGTTTTGTTGGAAGCTCTAGAGCATTACAACAAACTTTTAGTGATGCAATTTGTTTAGTTCAAAAATATGGTAAACCTGATTTGTTTATAACTATGACATGTAATCCTAAATGGAAAAAAATTACTGATAATATTAAAAAAATGAAGATGTAATAAATAGGCCAGATATAGTTGCAAGAGTATTTAAACAGAAAGTAAAAGAATAGCTTCATAAAATTACTGTGAAAGAAATATTTGGTACTTGTATTGCTTACACATATGTAATAGAATTTCAGAAGAGAGGATTACCGCATATTTACTTATTACTATATTTACATATAGATGACAAAATAAGAACAACATACGATATCGACAACTTTATTTCAGCAGAAATACCTGGTGAAATAACTAATCCACGTTTATTTAATTTAGTAAAGCAATTTATGATTCATGGACCATGTGGAAAACAGAACTTAACTTCTCCTTGTTTGAACATAAATACAAACAAGTGCACTAAAAATTATTCCAAACAATTTAATGATAATACAGAATTTAATAATAAAAGGCTGCGCTAAAAATTATCGGCTGCGCCTATCAAAAGTTAAAAAAATACAAAGCTACGCTGAACAAGAGCGGCTGCACCTTTTAAAAATTTTAATAAAAAATAAATGGTTGCGCTCAGAAACATCGGCTGCGCTTTACAAACAAATATACATATAAAATGGCTGCGCTGGAAAATCGCAGCTGCGCCTAAAATCAATGTCGTAAAAAACACTTAAATATTAATTTTTCTAGGCAGGTTACTTTTAGTTAATTAATTACTTTTCATAATACCATTATGTAAATTTTTTATACTAATAAAAAAACAGTTTCTAAATGAAATTAATAATTAGTACTTTTACTTCATTAATTACTGTTCATACATTTATTGTTTTTTTTAATAATAAAACCACAATATTTAAATGAATTTCATAAATAGTATTTATTTTCTACCTTTTCAATCCGAAGACAAAAAAGACAGAAAACGATGTAATATTAAATACAAGTTTCATAATAGAAATTTTTGCAAAATTCATGCAAATAACTTAAAAAAAAAAAAAAAAAAATTTGGCATTTTTTTTGAATAGACATGTATGTAAGGCATGTGATTTCAAATTTTAAAGGAAAACTGTAAATAACTTCAAAAAGAAAACGAAAAATTTGTTTTTGGTGTCGGTCGGTGTCGGTCGTTTTAGAACTTAATATAATAAGAAGGATATGAGGGAAATTGAATATCGCCATAACTTTGTGAAAAAAATTTTTTTTTAGCTGAGATTTAAAATAGTGACGTATTTT